GCTGCTTGGCCTGCTGTGTTCATCCAGCCCTGCACCTTGTTGTCTCAACTTGCCAAATCTTTTTGAACCACATGTCAAAAACTGACGACCTTAGGAAAAACACAGGAAAATGCATGCAGCCACTCATTTGGATCAGGGTCCAATCCTGCCAATTATCAACTTATCAGTCTATTGTCAATCATCAGCTAATCACTAGAAGGGGTTTTCAACAATACTAAGAAGTAGTACTTGCATATGAATAACCTGCTGTGAGGGCCATTAGGCTCCTGACCTTATTGCAGCCTTGTGCCAAACAAAGACATAAAAGCTGAAATCCAGAGGTGAGATAAAAATGACTGTTCTTGAATTCCGAGTGCGATATCAATGGGAATGAGAGGGGAAAATTTCTGCTATTTGAGTCAAACCTAGCACAGAGGGAGAGGTTGTACTTGTTGGAGGTCAGTCATTTCAGTCCGAGGGCATCATAATGGGAGCTCCTCAGAATAGATATTTTCTGATTAATTTGTCCAGAGATGTTATTACACACCTCTGGAGCAGGTATGAGTTGAACCCAGGCCTCCTTGCTCAGAGGTAGGGGCACTGCCATTACAACAGAAAAGCCCCTATGATTTTTTCAGGGTAATATCCTAGGACCAACCACCATTGGTGGCATCATCGGTGATCTTCCCTCCATCATTAGAAGTAAGGAGTGTTCACTGAGATTGCACAATAGTCAGCTCCATTTGCCAGTCCTCAGATACTGAAACAGTCTACGTCCATGTGCAGCAAGATCTGGACAATATCAAGCTTGGTTTGATAAATGGCAAGTAATATTTGTGATACACAAGTGCAAGACAATAACTGCTTCCAACAAGACAGAATCTAACCATTGTCCCTTGATGTTCAATGGCATTATAATTGTTTAATTATGAGAGTTCCGATGACCAGAAACTGAAGTAAACCAGCCATAACAGCAGGTTGCCACAAGAGTAGGTCAGCGACTAGGAACTCTGTGTTAATGAATACACACCCTGCCTCCATCATATCTTTCCATTATCTACACTGCCTTTGGGTAAAGATATTGTAACTCCCTTTTTAACAGCACTGTAGGTGGCCCTAAATGCTAAGGATTGCAGCAAATCAAGATGGCAGCTCACCACCATCTTTCCCAGGACAATAAAGGATGGAAGATCCCATGAACAAGTATTTTTAAAATCGCCAGTTCTGGAGAGGAGTTATATTGGAGTCAAAACAATAACGCTGCTTCATTCTCCACAGATGCTATCAGACCTGTCGAGTGTCTCCAGCATTTTCCATTTTTATATTATATTTTAAAAATTGCTGTTCCTTGATTGTCACTGGGTCAATATCTTAGAATTCTCAGCTCCTTCTTCTCTCCTCAGTAGGAAAACTATTAAAAGTCTGTCATGGGATGTGGCTGTCTCTGATGAGGTCAACATTTCTTGCCCAACCTGAATTGCCCTTGAGAAGATAGGTGTGGGTGTACCTATACCACATGGTTGGTAACAGTTCAAGAAGGTGGCCCACTGTCACTTCTCGAGGGCAATTGGGAATGCTGGACTTGCCAGTAATGCCCATTAACCCAAGAATAAATCAAATCAATATGAAATACCATAACGTTGCATGCTGTTGAGCTACTGATCATGTCATTACTCTCTTGCCTTTTTAATGATTTTGGGTCAACATCATAGACGATCATATTATTTTCAGAAAATGTAAATAGTTTCCAAGATGTACCTGTTTTTATGCCTAATTGAAGATCGAACCAGCATCATTATCTGCAACATGGGACTGTATCAATAAAATGGGGTTCTTAGTCTATTTGTACCCAGTCCCAATTCTCTTATCTCCAGATGGTACATGGTCAGGGATGGAGGAGGAGGAGAGAAAGAAGCTGCAATTGTGAGAGTTTATACTGCACTGTTTCCAAATGACCTTTTTAGATCAGCTATCTCCACTTTGAATGAATTGAAATAAATGTCACAATGGATACTTTCTAATAATGAACAATTATACTCAACTCTTTGTTTTCTTTCCAGCTCGAAGATATGAAGGCTAAAAGTAAACAAACTCATTCAATTATTCACTTGTTTAAAACTCGTAATATCCGAGCCATCACGCTCATAAACTTGCTAGTTTGGTGAGTATATGATTACAAAAAGGAGGCTATTCTGTATTATGTTTGCTCTATTGAAGAATAATCCAGTTAGTCTCACTCTGCTGCTCTTTTCACATATCACCTGTAATTTTTTTTTCCTTTGAGTTATTGTTAAATTCCATTTTGAAGGCTAGAGTCAGATCTGTATCCACCAATGCATCATTCATTTCATTCCAAATTCTAGCCAACCATTGCAAACTTCTTTTCCCCCTCCGGCTTTAACTTTGTTTGCCAATCTTATTTCTGCCTGCTGGTAATCAATTTCCAATGTGTTCTGTACCTCTAGTGTCTTCACATCCTTCCCAAAGTATGATGTCTCGAGTTAGATTTTGTCCTGTACTTTGGGTTGGTCAATGGGGTGAATGAGTCTTAGTGCATGTTCAGCGTAATAGCCTGGCTTTTGTATTCTGTGCTCAAAACATTGATTTGCTCTTGTTTTATGACTTGGTGGTCCATGATTCACAAACATACCATGCAGCCATTGAGAGAGGCAGCATGTGAATTTTGTGACTTTATGTTGTCTTTTTATTTGAATGATTGTAACATTTTGCCAAGCATGACCTGTGCTGCAGTCTGAATGAATGTGCAACAGAGGACCAAGTCATTCCAGTTAACCTGCAATTTTTATAGGTAACCTGCTTAATTTACAAAGGAGCTGCACTCAATGGAAAGAAGCTGCTGTGGACTGCGTGCAATGTAAAGGGCTGCAAGGAGAAGGACACTGAATGGAGCAGCAGGCAAGATGAGGGTTCCCAAAGTTGCAAGTGTGGAGGTGGAGGCCTTAGTTCAGGAGGTCAACAAGAAGAGAGTCAGTTTTTCCACTGGGGTCCTAAGAGGTCCTGAAGAACCACCCTCTGAAGAAAATTGGGAGCGGGTGGCCATAGCAGTCACGTGTTGCCCTGAGACCCTGGCAGCAGTGCTGAAGTTTGATAACTTCAGTAGGGTGGTCAAGATCAGAGAAGGCCTTCTCAAAGGATATCATCTATCCATCACTCCACCGAATCTCTGAAACTTGTTAATGCACCTCACCAGCATCACTCACCCATCAGCAGCCCCTGAAAGTCAGAGCTCAAGCTGAATATTCAGATACTGCTCCTCATTTGCATGCACTTTCTAATAGGATCAGCCCCACATCTGTTTCCCTCTGTTCTGTGATGGCAGGAACATTGCAAGTGTTCTCATAATACACGCAGCAGACCAAAGAGGAATAGGCATGTTTGCATCATGTGAGCTCATTGGAGGAGACTCATGACATGGAGCCCATTTCATCCAACGCTGCTGAGTGCCTTGATAAAGACAGTATGTTTCTGCCTAGTGTTCTTTCTCAAACCCCAATTTACCTTCATCCTGCTAACTAACGTGAAGTCAATCTTTAGATCCAGTGACCATGGACTCCCTGCACTCAACCCAATCCTTTTCGTCTGATTTTCTGTTTTCAGAAATCCAAGAATTGCTCCCTGAACAGTCACCACTGCGATGAAGAAGGGTGAGAGCTGCTGAAGCCATTTGAGAAAAGAAACCACTCCACATGTTCTGACACTTGCAGCCAGCAGCTCTGATGTCGGTTCAGCACATAGCTTGGAGGGTAATGCAGGGTTGGGATTTGCTGTTCAGGAAAGGAGATAGAGAGCAAGAAACTAAAGATAGGTCATTTAGTCTAACATGTGCCATTGGGCCTCAGATGGGTAGGAAAGTAGGCTGTAAGGAGGATACCCAGTCTGGAAAGAGATAGCTGAGTATAATTTGGGAAAATGTGAAGTTCATTTTTTCATGGGAAGAATATAAAAGCAGAATATTATTAATATGCAGGAAGAATACAGTATAATGTAGTACTGAAGGATATGGATATTATTGCAATTGAATCGGGTGAGTGCACTGTTGCTGTAGTCCACTGCCCTGTGGGTCACAACATACGGTATAAATAACTTTTCCAGTTGTTATGATGACCAATTAATTTACATTATCTATATCAAGTGTCAAACAAAAGATCTATTAATCAGTTTTCTGGGTTAATTATCCAACAAGACTTATTCAATAAAGATATAGTAATAGTAATTAACATTTAATTATTCAGTGATATAGAATTGTAAATGGTTATCTTTCTAAATATCCAGAGAACACCCACATACATGTATTCTTCAGGAAAAGAGGACTAAAACATGCATTTCCCTACAGAATTGGCTTTCTGAAATGAACATCACTTTGGTCAATGCGTTATTCTTGAAATAAAAGTATGAAGCATAGAATGTTCCTAAATTTGTTGCTTTGATGTCCTGGCAAGTGTGGTCAATTCACTATTGCATGTTTATCTCTGAAGTCTTGCAGACACAGCTTGCTTAAGAAATGCCATCTTGAGATGTTCATTCAATCAGTCTTTTAAAAGGGCAGACATTTCACTGTGAACTGATGCAGCGTGGGTTCTTTTCAGAAATGGGAGAGGTCTGCTGGGCAGCTTGTTCTTACCTGGCTTTTCTCTAATGCAAACAAACACAGAGAATGCTGGAGAAACTAAGCAGGTCTCGCAGCATCTGTGGAGAGAGAAACAGAGTTAACATTTTGAGTCTTCTATGACTCCTCTTCAGAAGAAGAGTTCATATTGTAATTGAAACTTAACTCTTTACCTCTCCACAGATGCTGCCAGACCTTCTGGGTTTCTCCACCATTGTGTTTGTTTCAGATTTCTTGCATCTGCACTAGTTTGCTTTTACTCCCTCCAATTCAGTTTGTTCTTATCAGGTTTCCCTCAGACTGAACCAGATAAAATGAGAATTTCATCAAGCTAGTCAGTGTTCAAAACACAGTGCTGACAGTGCCTACAGCAAAGCAAGCATTTGTCACCAGTCATATGATTTGTAGGAAAGCTTGTGTAAAAACAAACCTCCAATATCCACAAAGAACTTTGAATTGCTTCTTTTAATGAGAGCACTCCAGGTACGTTCACAATACTTGAAGTGAATTCCTCTTTTTGACAACCCTTCAAAACTTAACAATATCATATATAAGGGATTCTTGCAACAGTGCCTTCATTCATGATTCACAAATGTTCTCATGCAGATAGAACATGTAATAATGGAAAAGCAAATGGAATGCTGGCCTTCTTGGAAAGGAAATGGAATATACAACCAGCCAAGTCTTCTTCTAATTGTGCAAGCATTGGTTTGTTTTTTTTTTAATTTGTTATTTTTATTCAAGATGGAAACAGCACTGACCAGGTGGAATATTTTATGTAGTCTTAGTCATCTTAAGGAAGGATGTACTTGCATTGGAAGCAGTTTGTAGAAGGTTAATTAGGTTAATTCCAAGGATAAAGGGTTGCCTTAAGAGAAAAGGTTTAGCAAGCTGGTCATTTATTCTTTGGAGGTCAGAGGAATGAGATGTGATCTTATTGAAACAGGGAGGAGTATCATGCATGGACAGGTTGGACCAATGGGTCTGTTTCCATGCTGTACATCTCAATGACTCTATGACTGTACGATATGGGACAAGTGCAGGAAACTGGGCTTAGTGCACCTTTAGTGGTAATTATGTTGGTGCAGACTTGATGGGCCGCAGGGCCTTTTCCACGCTGGATGACTCTATGACTTCCCTTACTTGTGTGTCACATCCAAATGATATCCCTGTAACTGGAGTAACATTTTCTGAAGACACTTGGAGCAGTTAGTAGCAGCTTAAGGAAAATGCTTTGAAATGGCTTGTGGTTGGACTCAACAGTTATTTTTTCTGTTTCAGGTAGGTATTGATGAAAATGTTCAGAAGCAAAATCAATGGCCAAGCACATGCTCTTTGTCTGAGCATATCACACTTCATTTAACACTCTAGATGTAAATGCAACCATTTCTCCTTGCTGCATTACAGTTGCTTGAAGTCCTGTCTTACTGCCATCACATCACACAGAGTAACTTCTTCATTTATGTTATAATATTTCAGCACTGTTTTACCACCCTTGTAATCAGTCAGTTCCAGATTTCCACTACCTTCTGGATGAACTTTTTTTTCCTCACATCCCCTCTGAACCTCCTGCCCCTTACCTTAAATCTATGCTCCCTAGTCATTGAGTCTTCCACTCAGGGGAAAAATTTCTTCTTGTCTACCCTGCCTATGCCTCTCATGATTTTACATATCTCAATCATGCATAATTTGTGCACAAAATGAGTTAGCTAATTGCAATCAAAATCATCTCTCACTGATGATTTATATCTCACCTCTTCTGCATTTCAGTTGCTTTCCTGAAAGTAAGTTTCACCTCTCTCGAAATATACGCTTTATCTCTGTAGTATTTCTTATGCGTAATACAGTCCTGTCTCTTAATTAGAGCAACTTACAGTTCTGCAAATTTGCAGGATTCTGAGAATTGTGTTAATGTGTCACATTTAGTGTCACACGTAGTGTTCAGGGATTTGTAGATTAGGGGGATGGGTCTGGGTGGGATGCTCTGTGGACTAGTTGGGCTGAAGGGCCTGTTTCTACACTGTAGGGATTCTATGAAAAATTCTATGAAATAATATTTTGTTCAATGGACACTTTGTCACCTTGAGGCCCTTATATTGAAGACGTACTATTCATAAGTTCTGTTCACCTGGAGTTCAATGCTTTTAAAATGTTTATAATTTATTTTATTTTTCTGTTCTTCAAAGAGTTTTATGATGCAATACACTTTGAAACAGTCTCTTCCCAATAGTAATAAGAATGCAGGGATTAGTAACCGCTCTGGCTAGTTAAACAGATCTGTCGCTAGTTCATAATTTTGTCATATTGTGAGGAAAAAACTGCCAGTTTTGCTTCATATCACAATTCATTTTGACCAGAGCTAGAAGAGGGAAAGCTGCATCCACTTCCTCTTCAATCCAGTTCAATTTGATTGGGCAAGTCTGTTGTATTTTTGAGCTAAATTACTGTACAACAATCTCGCTTCTCACATCAACGCTGATGAATAGACATAGATTCTGTTTATTTCAGTACTTGTTGCAGAGGAATATAATGAC